GATGTGATTGTGATGCTGTAATTCTGAGTGTTTTATGTGCTGCAGAACAGGAACCTGCTGTAAAACAGCAATTATGCTGAGTCAGGCTTGATTTTTAATAATCTTTTCCTGTTGAATAAATAAATCAGTCAGTCATCAGTTAATCATCCTCACCTGCTCAGTCATCCTCAGTCAGCCCCGCCCCCAGGTGTTCATCATGTCCTCCTTCCCTCTGTTAGTTTAAATACTGGTCAGTTACTCCACACCTCACTGGCTCATTGTTTGGTTTACCCCTCTGTTTTGGTTCCTCTGTTGGTTTTTCTTGTGTTGTTTTATTTGCTGCCCCGTCAGCCTTTTGTTTTGTTAAATAAATATTTTTACTTAAAGAGCTGCTGACCTCCGTTTGGATTTGGATTCTTTCCCTCGTCCACTTTAACATGTAGTTGAGCAGGAGGAACACTGATATCCAGCTCTGAGCTGCAGGGAGTCCAACTGTTGAAGATATTCTTTTACTTTATCTGCAGCAGAGAAACTTTAGCTGTTTTTGGCTGCTTCGATCTTTTTCTTTGGTTTAGCTAGCTTTAGCTTCTGTTCTGACTGTTTTGATCTTACGTCATGTTTCAGTTTGTACAGCTGCAGGTCTGCAGGTCTGCAGGTTTTGGCTCAGACCCGAGCAGATGACAGATCTGACCCTGACCCAGCACACAGAGCAGCTCAGTTCTGGACCCGCTCCCACGGTTCTGTTCTCTCAGGTGTGAGAACAGGTCTGAGTTCTGCTCCTTCGCTGCAGCTTCAGCTGCTCTATCAGCTGAATTATTTCCCAGAGGAGCTGTAAGCTCAGGACACGACCGGAGCTCTGGTGACCAGGATTCATCACAGGTTACTGTGATAACACTGGAGGTTCTGATGGTTCTGGTGGTTCTGATGGTTCTGGTGGTTCTGGTGGTTCTGGTGGTTCTGNTGGTTCTGATGGTTCTGGTGGTTCTGGTGGTTCTGGTGGTTCTGATGGTTCTGATGGTTCTGGTGGTTCTGGTGGTTCTGGTGGTTCTGATGAAACGCTGCTGGATCCTGGGAGCTGAGAAATAAAAACTGTCTTCATTAATTAAGACATGAAAGAGGAAATTATAATGTTTCTACAAACATTTTAATCTCATTTATTTACAGATGATTTATTTATATAAAGACTTGATTAAAAAAGTTTCACCTCCTGACTAAAGTTAAAGATATGTTTGTTTGTCTGTTAGTAAAATATCTAAGCAGTGGATGGAAATGAATCATTGGATCTGACAGTTTTCCAGGTTGAGCTGGAGTTGGGTGGTAGCAGCTGAGAGTCGTCCTCATCACACACTCTGAGCTCTCTGAGTTTAAATTAAAGTTTAAATTCAATAAATTTAAGGATTTAAAGTGCCTGTCATGTTTATCCTTCAAATGCAAAAAGTCAAAGAAAACATATTTATATTTAAGAAAATTAGCATAGTACACATGATTTTACTCATTTTGTCTGATAACTGACATATTTTCTCTTGAATTTGGCTCAAAGTGAAACAGGAAGTGACATCAAAGGGGAACTCTTAAAGAAAAGAAAATCTCTGGTTTTTGTTTTTTGAAACAATCTTATTTAATCTCTTCTTCATCTCTGATAGAGACTCAAAATAATCCAAAGAAACATCAGATTCTTCTCTACACATTCCCCTGTGACATCACTTCCTGTTTCTTCACACACAAATATCTCAACAACTGTTCATCTCAGCTGCATGAAATTTGTTTTGCAGCATGTTCTCATTGTTCTCTTTCCAAAAACACATTCACATTTATTACAAAGATCTGATGTCACAGGCCCTTTAAGGATGTTAATTTGTTTGAAAATCATTCATGAACAGGTCCTGGACACAGAACCTTAGAACACCTGTTAAACAGAAATATAAATCTGTCTCCTGCAGGTGGACCCCATGTTCACGGTCCCAGCGCCCCCTGCTCCCGGACACCCCGGGGCCCCTGGACCCTCCCTGCCCCCAGCCCCCTCCTTCTCTGCCTCAGCCCTGCCCACTTCCAGTCCCAAACAGCTGGCGGTCCGGACCCGCTCTGTCGGCACCAACACGCAGGACGGGGCCGTCTCAGGGGCCCCGACCTTTGAACCAGCCCGCTTGGGCCCCTGCCAGCCTGGAACCAGTGTCAACCTGGAGGGAATCGTCTGGCACGAGACGGAGGAAGGTGAGGGAGGTTCTGGGAACTGGATCTGGGTTCTGTCCACTTTCTGTGACCCGTTAAGGTTCTGAGCTGCAGGTCCAAACAGGACTGATTCAGTTTGTTCTGTTTCTGAGCATCACAGCAGAACCCATCCCGATATATACTGTATATATATA